CTTGTGAAGTTTTTTTTTTTTTTAAAAAAAACATATTATTGTTTGATATATTATATACAATAATAACAAATAAAAAGTAATAATTTTATCAGATGGTAAAATTATAAAAATAAATAAATAAAGTAATTAAAACGTAATAAAAATTGAGCTGATTGAGTTTTGATCCACTTGTTTGCCCATTTGAACCCAACTTTTAGGCAATATCAATAATATATCTATTTATTAACTAAATTAACTTAGTCCGCTTAAATTCAATTTAATCCGTCCATTTATCACCCGTATCCTTTTAATTGGGGTTTTTAGGACCATATGTCATATGTGCTTACATTATGCAATTATATCCTATTGCTTGGGAGAAATTAAAGGCTTTGCTAAAGTAAAAATGGTTTTAGTTAATACATTTAATAATTTCATAAATAATGACTAATTACTTTGCCTATGTCATTTATTTATCAAAAATGGTACAAAATTTAATACATAAATCTTATAATTACATGGAATTTTTCAAATTTTGTAATTAAATTATGAGACACACGATAACAATATTTTTTATATTTTTAAATAAAAAAAGGGCATCATATAAATTCATGTTTCTCTAATAAAATTTTCTGGTCCCTCTTAATATGCCTTAATTATGTAGATATGGAAGCAACCAAAATTAACTTTCTTTTATTATTTATTGTAAGTAGATATGGAAGTCACATCATTTTTAAAAAAAACTGAATTAGTTGATTTCCAAGAAGTAATTAGAGTAATAAAAGGTTGATTTTCTTAAAAACAATTATTTAGGAATGTTTAATATGAATATCATTGCTTCATAAATCAATTAAATTATGCATGTCCACTTTAAGTAATTTCATTATTACATCAGTAAGTAATTACATCTCATGCTTTCTACGGTAACAATATATCAAAAATGATCTTAACTGTAATTAATTAACTGTAGTAACTTAATTGCCGCTAAATATATATTTTTAGAGGCAATTGACATTCTTTGTAAATATTCCTAAAACATATAGCAACATTGAATCTAATAATAATTAACTAATATCGATAAATGTTTTAATACTTTTTATTAATATGCATATTTATTGCCGTTTTTTTTATATAATGTAAATATAGGAGTAGAGCTACAATACTATGTACAGATTTGAATGAACTCAATAACAACTACTTTGATTACATATTTATATTAATGAATTCACTAAATATTATAATTAAAAGAAGCTATGGAAAATTTAGAACTTACCCGTTTTAAATTTAGGCTCCACCTTTAAGTAAGTACTTATTCATCTTTTTTACTCATGAAAATGAAATAACATTTGATAAAAACATGTTATCTTAAAGTGTAATTTTTTAAATAAAAATTCAAATTAATTAAATTTCAAATTAAAAAGAAAAAAAAAGGCAAATGGATCTTTGAATGAGCACATGGTGATACATTTAAGAGAGCAAAAACCACATGGTTCTGACCAACTCACCTCCTTATACACAAATTTCATAAAAGCAGAACTCTATACTTTTTATATTTTGGTTAATAATAATAATAATAATTTGAGTAATTCAGTTTTATCAGTCAACTATAATTGTACTCAATAAGTTAATGAATGCTTCAATTTCAAAAGATGTATTATAACAATAATAAATTTAGAATAATTTTATAGATAAAATTTGAGAAAAATAAATTATATATAGATTATGAAGGGAGTCATCTTAAACGTAGGATGGTCTGATGCATATATTTTCTATCAAAAAATTATGTAGCGTATAAAGTAGAATGTTAGCATTTAAGAGTGTATATTTAATTTTGCACACTTTTAAGTCTTAATACAATTGACAAGAAAAATTGTGTACATTTCATCAAACTTTGGACTTCACCACTTATTCAAATCATATACCTATCTTCTAGAAATAGAAAAAAAAAATTCAATTAAAAAAAAATACGTTAAAAAATTATTAAAATATCAATTTAAAATAGTATACGTTTTAAACTTAAAGGTTTTTTTTTATGTACCTTATATAATATTCACATTAAGTTAGCAAAATTTATCTTTCATTTTACATATGAGATATAACGTAGAATAATAATATGTATATTAGTGATATATATATATATATATATATATATATATATATATTTTATTTAGTGTTCATTAATCAGTTTTTGATCTAGATTCAAACTAAACAATCTCACGTTAGAAAGGACAAAATGCTCTTAAAATTCAAAACTCAAATTCTTAATTATTAATCACTGTATAATAATTTTTTCATTATTAATCACCGGATACAAATTTATAAGTTGCAAAAAAAAAATTATTATTCTTTCTGATATAAATTAAAATAGAAGCATAGTGAATCACATATTATTGGAAATTTGGAATTGCTTGAGTATCAATTATTAATTAAAAAATAATTCATAGATGCGCTTCCACTCCACATATGCATTCAACAGAGCTGAGAACTGTGACAACTGTTTCTTCAGAGCAACCTCTTTTCTTCAACAAAATAAAGAAGCAAAATACTATAGTACTTATACTAAAAATAATAATATAGATTTTTAATTATTATTTTTTTAAGAAAAGAGGAGCAATACATCACTCACTCTAAGAAGATCCACCCCTTTTTCTTTTTTCACCTAAAAAAGTGTTCTACATTTGATTTCTCAAATACCCAAAAGCCTATTTTGAGTTCAATCTTACCATTCTTGAATAAAAATGCTATCTTTATGTGTTTTGTGTTTATGGGTATCTAAGTCTTGAATAACAATGCAATCTTTATGTGTTTTGTGTTTATGGGTGTCAAAGTTTTGAATAAAATACCAATCTTTATGTGTTTTGTGTTAAAGGGTATCAAACTTTTCTTCTTTTCTTTGGGATTGATCTAAAAAAGATTAAATTTTTAGTTGTTTTGACTGATGAAGAAAATAGTATGACTGATTTTTGAGAGTTCTTGGCATATTATTTTTTGGATTTATTCAAGTGTTTAGTTTCGGATTTTAGTAATGGAGTCAAGAATGGAACATTATGAGATCATGGAACAGATTGGGCGTGGAGCATTTGGTGCTGCTATTTTAGTTAATCACAAGCAAGAAAGAAAGAAGTAATTAAAAAGTTTGGTTTTTTCTTGAAAATGCTTATAAGATTTGAATTTGATGTATTATTGATTTTGTTTCTTTGTGGGGTATCTTGAATTATAGGTATGTGCTCAAGAAGATTCGATTAGCTCAACAAAGTGAACGTTGCAGGAGATCTGCTCATCAAGAGGTAGTACATTGTGTTGTTTCTCAATTTTATTTGGTTATGGTTTTTGCATTTTGTGCATCAAGAGTTTCTAATAGCTTGTTTCGCCAAGTTTTTGAGGAAGTCATAAGTGTTTATTTTATAGAGTTGAGCTGTTTGGCCGAGCTTTTAGGAAAAAAGTAAGTATTTTTGAGTAGTAGCAAGAGCTGCATTTCAGAACTGAAGAAAGTAGTTTTGCTCCAGAAGCACTTCTTTGACCTTGGCCAAGCACAAATTGTTGCTCTAATATTAGCAAAGTGTTTTACAAATGGATTAGCCAAATACAAATTGCTACTCTCCGATGTTATTTTTTGGAAAGCACCTCTGACAAAAGACACATTTCAAAATAAGCAGATTTTGGAACCAAACAGGCCATTAAATAAGGATACTTGCAACTTGGATGTACAGATGGCATTGATCGCTCGTCTTCAACATCCATATATTGTTGAGTTCAAGGAAGCATGGGTAGAGAAGGTGAGAAGCCTGATTTTGTTTTCAAGTGCTGAGTTGACTATAATATCCTTGAAATTGGTGATTATTTTACTCTCATGTCAATCGTACTGTAGGGCTGCTATGTTTGCATTGTTACCGGCTATTGCGAAGGTGGTGATATGTAAGTCTCTATATAACTTTTCATTTTTCATTAGTTTAACTGCTAAACTTAAGTTTAACAATGCATATTTTGATAGGGATGAACTGATGAAAAAAGCAAATGGGCAATATTTTCCAGAAGAGGTATGTTGGCAATGTATTTTAGTTTATCATTTTGCTGGGACATGTTAATTGTACATCTAGATTGTAGACTACGGACACGGGAAAACAAGTTTATAGCTAATTTACGAGTTAATTTGTTCAATCGGTTGGGGTAATGTATTATTGCTCTAGTATAAACTTCAGTTAGTTGCCATTTCCGGGTGTCTAATCCTTCAAGAGATGTTCATAATGCAGAAACTTCTGAAGTGGTTCACTCAAATTTTGTTGGCAGTGGAATATCTGCATTCAAACTTTGTACTACACCGTGACCTTAAAGTGCGTATCTTATTATCTGTTAATATCGTTTTTAAATTTTTATTCTCTCCAATCTATTTTCTGAGGTGATTTCTGCACCTTTCTGTGGCAGTGCTCAAACATCTTTCTGACCAAGGAACACAATGTTCGCCTTGGTAACTAGTAACTACCAATGCTTTTGTTCTTTTATTGAAGTGAAGATGGATGCAGTCGATTTTTCTGATGTAGGCTTACATTTTTTTTTTCCCTTTTACTTTTTTCTCCAGGGGATTTTGGCCTTGCGAAAACGCTGAAGGCTGATGACTTGGCTTCTTCAGTATGTATCTGATACCCGATGCTTTACTTTGTTATTTTCACCTAACCTAAGTAGCTCACATTAGTTTCTACATTCTTAAAACGAAATGTAGGATACAGCATGGCACGGGTAAATCAAGTTGGTGTTTAATTCATTTGGTTGATTATTTACATTGTAAAAGTTAGTCTAACAGAAGGCAGACCTAGAGACATGCATCGGTTCATATGTCTTATATTGTTTATTACTGGCATAGATACATTTCAGAAATCATAGTTCAGTATCTTATTTCTACCTCTTTTAAATTACTCCACCCTGATCCATTTTATTGATGATGTGCTTCTGTGTCCAACATGTGTCATTTTGGATCAGATATGGGCAACAGTACGAACTTGCATGATGATTAAGCACAATCTGAACTATATTTTGCCTAAATAAAACCTGGCATTTAGTTTCTAAATATTTTCCTACTTAGCAAAGCCATAGAGAAACAGGAACCAAGGATGCGAACACTCAGGAGTGTTACGTTCGGGATTACCTAGCCTACATCCCCTCCCCCGTCTCCACCCGCTAGACTAAAGAAAAAATAACAAGAAATAATGGAAGATATCACTTAATGGAACTAAATAAGCTAAAACTTTTAGTGGAAGAGATGTTTCAGTAAGCTAATAGTGTTATTTTATATTCCAGGTAGTTGGAACTCCCAATTACATGTGCCCAGAACTTCTTACGGATATTCCATACGGTTTTAAATCAGATATTTGGTCCTTAGGTATGTAACTCCTTTACTCCATTCTGGTTCAAGTGCATTTATATCTTACTTTGAATGTGGTGCCAAATTGTATTGGAGTTCTCTGTAGACATTCATTTCCAATAATTTTTGGAAGATATGAACCTCTCACCTATGTATGTCATCTGTTACCACACCTTTCATTTCATACGGTTATCTTCTTTCCCAACTCTGAGGACACTGGTTTGTTGTAGCAATAATCTCGTGTTTATTTGATATATACATGTCATTGTGGGCTTCTTCTGTGTCTTAAATCCATTCATTTCTTGACCAGGCTGCTGTATGTATGAAATGGCTGCTCACCGCCCTGCATTTAAAGCATTTGTAAGGCTTCTTGAATTTGTTTCTATCATCTCCATTTCAATTCCTTGGATACATAATGAAATGGGAAACTGACCATATATTTTATCTCTTTTGATTAATTTACAAATAGAAGCTTAAATGACTGTCTCTGCATATATAGAGACCTTCGGATGGGGGGTTTCGTTTGTAAGTTAGTGAATTCAAGTGACAAGCAAATCCAAATTCCAACTATATTGTTGAAGAGATGTTCTTCCTTTTAAGCCTGTCCCGAAAAGAATGTCATCTTTCTATAATTAAAATCAATTTTAACTTCAAAATTCTCCTTATACCCTTGATGAAATGATTTATCGCCATACAAATGTCTAAGGTTTATTTTAGACGACAAATTTCAAAAAGTCTTGCTTTCTTTCTTGAACTTTGTGCCAAGTCAAATGGTGCAACATAAATAGGGACAAAGGGAGTAGATGTCAAATCAAAGTACAAACTGTCTTACTTATATAGAGAACTCAGTTTAGACTTCTAATAAGTTAATCCCTTATCTCTAATTATTAGAATATCAATTTAAAATAGTGTACGTTTTAAACTTAAAGGTTTTTTTCACTGTACCTTATATAATATTCACATTAAGTTAGCAAAATTTATTTTTCATTTTACATATGAGATAACGTATATAACTTATAACTATTTAAGATAAATATATTTTATTCAGTGTTCATTAATTAGTTTGTAGCTAGAATAATTGCTCTTGATTAGAACTAAAAATCTCATGTTAGAAAGGACAAAATGCTCTTAAAATTCAAAACTCAAATTCTTATAAAACTAGTCTACAACAAAATTTTAAATTATTAATCACTGTATAACATTTTTTCATTATTAATCACCCCATATACAAATTTATAAGTTGCAAAAATAACAATCTTTTTTTCATTTTGACACAAATAGTTTAACTGTGTGTATGTGTGAAAGAGAAAGTAGAGAGAAAAAAAATTAGTTGGAAGTTGTACTGGTTTATTTGCAACTAAACCTACCACCCTAATCATGATTAAACTAATAAACTATATCTTTCAAAAACTTTAATTATTACTTAGAACATTTTACTTTATTATTACTATTTTCTTTATCTCAATTTATGTAATGTCGAGTTGAGTTTAAAAAAGAAATGTAATTTAGAATAATTTATGAATATTTATGTCATTACAAATTACATCACTGTATAACAATTTTTCATTATTAATCACCCCATGATTTTTTTTCGTACTCAGACTAATAACTATCCAAGTCATTTCACGAATAAAATATGATCAATTAACCAATCATTATTAGGCCAATGATAACTCTCTTCTAGCATTACCTACATGGCAAGGGAAAAATCAAAGGGTAGAACTGACTAATCCTAAATCAAAGGGTCGAGAGACTCAATACCAGTATGCTCGAACAACTTGGAACAAGGTCTTCTTTCCGCACTATTACTAATATGAAAATAATGGTGAAAACTGGATTCAATTGTCAACTACCCCCATTGGTGATACAGGAGTGACTACTGATTCTGAAGGAACTGCAGTCACATTTCTTTTCCATTCAAGAGCTTTTACGCGTTTTCACGATCTTTTAAGACCACGAAAAATGGACAAATTTCTTTTCTTATGAACACATACAAGATTCGTCACTACAAAAAGGATACATTTTCCAGAAAAAAGAGATGCAGTTTAGTGGTTACCTTAATATCAGTTATATCTCCAATAGCAAATATGTTTCTGTGACCCTTGATTCTAAGATTTTTATCAACCTTCAATCTTCCAAAATTATCGATTCGATCCTTCAAATACGTCTCCCTTAACTACTCTAAACCCGGTGCCTTTCCCGTGCAAAGAAAATGGCAATCCTCTCTGATAGTTTCCCAAGACAAGGTGAAATATGTTCTGTTTCCACCCGAGCTGTTCGTGTTATTACTTCACTTCCACATTCTTGTTTTTTAACCATTCTAAATTCTAGTAGTCTGGATCCATCTTGCACCAAAGTTACCTTCTTTTGAGGAAAATCGACAGTGATTACTGCATCAAGTTTAACACTAGTAGGTCCACCACCAACAATCAATACTGCTTTTTATCTTTTCATTCTCTGCAACAAAATACCTCGCCACATTTTGCTAGTACATCTCAACATTCATCACAAGACAGTTGACTGAATCCCGTGAAAACTTGCTAGAGGAGTCGGTTTACAAATAAATAATCTCCGTCTAATGGATACAAAATCCCCATGCTTTAGCTTTGTTTTATCATTTTCCTAAAAGGACATCAAAAACAGCCTAGTCTCACGCCATTTTGACTTGTAATATACAACCTGACAGGACAATCGCAAATGAAATGTTCTAATCACTAGTACATCTCGACAACAACATACCCAATGTAATCCAACAAGTGATATGATAACAAAATTACATTGTACAAAGCAAATGAAGCAACGTATAGTAATAAACATTGAAAAAAAAGGAAGCTACGCAATTACTAAATAATAATACTAGTACATCTCAAACTCTTTGTGAAATAGTAGATCAGTCATGATCAAGACAATTGAATGAATCTCGTGAAATTAAACCTGACAGAAGAGCCGATTTACGAATAAAGAATCTTTTCTCAACGGATACAAAACACTAATGATTTAGCTTCTTTTTATCATTTTCCAAAAAAGTTGATAAACTTAGCGAGAATAAATATCTCATATGATTATTTGATGGGAAAATTACGCAAGTTGGCAAACATCCCTAGGTTATTAGTCAATAAGGGTATAGTTTAATTTATTTACTGTCACTAAATATAGTTTCAGATTTTTGTCATAATTAATGGGACCCACCACCTCTTTGTATACCAACAAAGCCCTTCATATGCTTTTGTATATAATTTTATACAAAATCAAATTTATCTTTCTTATCCTCATTCCATATCTTTCTCCTAAAATCACTCTTCCACTTCCAATTTGAAATTCGAATTTCACCTTCTCCCTCCAATCATGTTTTCACTTTTTGCAGGTAACCGTCAAAATAGTGGGTGAATATCTTCTTTTTTTTCCAACAATTATATATGTATTATGCTTGTTACTTTTTTGATATTTTTTTTAGAAAAATCTTTCTTACTTATATGACTATCAGTTTTCAAAAACAAAATGGATGATTCCTCTCCATCTAAGAGGATTGCGAGAGGTACACCATTTGCATGTCAAAGTTGTTGACAATCCACCTTCGTTTTCGATCGGTTTTAATTCAGGATTTTGGGGTCAATGCAGGGTCTATGGCAAAGTTTAAACAAGTTCAAGATGAAAAATCTATTGAGGAATTGAGATCCAAGGAAAAAAAAATGACCCAATTGCAATTCAGAAAGTCATCAACAATGTGAAGGCAAGCGGCATTAAAATTGTTGAAGGAGGAAGTAAGAGAAAAGTCATAAACAGTGATTCAGAGGAGATTGAATCTGCTTCATCAGATCTGGACAAATCTGAAGAACATCATGAACATCATGTATTTGCTTAAAACACAATTCTAGATAGATATTTGTATATTCGTGTGAGTGTATATATATATTCTGATTAAATCATAGTTGTATATAGATATATGTATATTGTATATTTCATGCTTAAATCACACTTGTATTAGTTATTTGTATATTTTGTTAGTTATATAAAAGGTTACTTGACTTCTATGTATAGTTTATGCCTAAATCATAATTGTATATTGTAATTTGTATATTTTATTAGTTATATTCAAAATTACTTGAAGTTATGCATATAGTGAGTTGTATATTAAGGTAGTATATACAAAATTGCTTGAGACAATTGTATATTAATTGGTAACTAGTAACTACCAAGGCTTTTGTTCTTTTATTTAAGGTATGGTGTATACACTTGTCGACTGTTTTGTCAATGAGGGCATGGAGCTTGATGACAAAGCTAGGACTGCTATTAGGAGCAAAACATAAAAGAACAACTACAGCGAATATCAAGTGGTGGATTTTCTCCTGAAAGCACCACATAATGTCATTTTTCCGTCATTTACTATTAACTCTTTGCCTTGGTTTATGTTTAAAGAGTATATTCTATTTGTGTATAAGGTGGACGTGAGATACCAGTAACTTATAGACACAGAATTTTTGTTGGTGGTCTTCCATTATCTTTAACTGAAGGTAAAGAGTATACATGATATCATTTCTTGTTTCTGCCATTTGAGAGAGAAGAGAGATACAGGCAAAAAACGGACAAGAAGAGAAAGACAAGAGAGAAACTACAGGACAGAATGAAACACAGATATAAACAAAAGCCAGACTCAAAGAGACCATGCCATGTATATAATGACTTGCTCCTTCTGACTGGTAGGAATTATGGTCTCCTTTGACTTTATCCCACTTCATCGACCACTACGCTAAACCTTTGGATGAGCTTCTAAGAAACAATTGACAACTGTAATCAATATTTTAATTGAGGTGATCCTAATTTCAAGGTGGTTAGCAAATTTAAAGTCAATGGGAATGTAGAATAATGTCTGAAATTAGAGACACAGGTTGGTCTTCATTTGAGAGTTTGTTTAATAGTAAAATACTATGGCAGCAGTAAGATGTCTGAAATTACACTTGACACTAGTTGGTCTTAATTTGAGAGTTTGTTTAATTGTAAAATACTATGGTAGCAGTAAGAAAACAACCCTTCAACCTACTTTCATATAAAACCATATAAAAGCTATCAAGTAAAAGTGATCGTAATGTGCGAGGAAACTAAGGGTGTAAATATATTTTCGATTAGCATCAAAACAGAGCAGAAGCAAAGCGTCAAGGTCAGGAAAGTAGATTAACCTTAAGAAAGCACCCTCGCCTATTGTCCCCTACAGCAAAATAAAACACCTGCAGTGTTTAAAAACCACAAAATAACATTTAACAGAAGTTAATGATTAAAAGTAAAAAAAAAATAGTCGAGAAGATAAAAAGGAACTGAAAACTGCATAAACTCCAATATATGTTTTCCATCACAGGTTGTTCATATCATCCTGGATAAAACTTTCTACGATAGGACGTGTCACGGCCAGGATTGAATACAGTCGACCATTCAGGCCAAAGTGGAACGGGACAGTTGGAATCATATTTCAGGTAGCTTTTATATTAATGTCTTCAGATAATTTATGCCCTCCCATGAAATAATTATTTAAGTTTCAGATATGATTACATGGTTATAGAGGGAAACGTAGAGATAAAGATCTTTATTGTTATTTGGAGTGTAAAACAGTTGATTTCTTAGTCTCCGGTTGGCATTGCGTTGAATTGGTTACTCTAGGAGAATG